CCGCAGGCAGCGTATGGTTGAACTGAATGCGCCGGCCGTAACCCACGTCAAGCGGTTTGCCCTCGTGGTCCAAGGCCAAGTACGACGGCGGCATCCGATCGCGCACGCTCTTGATCACCGTCGTCGACGGCGTGGTTGCGCCGAGTGACTTGGCCACCGTGCTCACCGTGTCGGCCAGCCAGTCGTTTATGCCGGAATGGCCCGCATCCAGCGCCGTATGTGGGCTGTAGACGGCAATGTTGTTTTGCATGAGCTTGAGCAGCGACGCCTGCTGTGGGTCCTGGAGAGTGATGGACTTGAGGCCACGGAAGATGATGGGGTCTAGACGCAGTTAGGAACTTGACAACCAATGTGAACGAAGGAAAGAAACAAACGTACGGTATGCCACAATCACCGTCACATTGTAGGCAATGGCCTCCTCCACAACGTCTGGCGTTAGGTCGTTGGTCAATAGCACGCGCTGGTTTTCGGTCGCGCTTGTTGGCTGCCGGGAATTTTCCAGGAGCAGGCCAACATTGTCCCACGCCCGGTCGGCAAGCTCTTCGGGGAAGCTGTTTTGAGTGGGCATGATTAATATATAATCCTGCACAAAGACCAAGCCAAAGGTAAACACTCACAGGCGCCGCATCTCATGCACAACAACATGGGTGAATGGATGAGACGCCATGGTGCTGTTGTAGTTCTGGATGACCGATAGGGAAGTCCCAGACGGAGGCGGAGTGAGAGTGCAGTACGGAGCAGAGGGGATACGAGTGGCAAGATGCGGCCCTGATTGCCGTTGGGTGGTAACGAGCCGTAAGGACGAAGACGATGCGGTTGAGAACAGTCGACCACGAGGGCAAGCGAGGACGCGGAGTTGCAGAGCGAGCACGCGGGACTGAATCGAAACACTGGCGCTGACTGATGAAAACATTCGTGCCAGTATAAGACAAAAGTAGCAGCGCTGCTTTGCCTGTGGTATAGCCGTCTCGGTAGGATCTCAATGTCGGCTTTTTTTTCTCTTATGGACGAAGCAAGCTTGATGGACCACCGAGTCAAGCTTGCTGCTAATAGAGCTTGCACAGTGTTGTCACCCCACATTGAGCTTGGGGCGCACAGTATACGGCCGCCAAGCTGTTCCGGCCTTTATGGCGTAATAGCGCATGCGACAGCGTTGACAAATAGAGAGGCATCCCCTGGAACAGCTATTAGAAATACCGACGGAATTGCAACAGTACGAAGGCCCGCGCAAGTTGGCCTTTAGTAAAAGCAGAGTACGTTTCTTGTTCAAACCGATCTCGCGTCTCGTTCAAGAGAAAACTATTGGCTTTACTGTTGGCTGGTAGAGAATCCTGACTCAAAACGTACGTACGACATACAGTGCGCAAATCTACTGACGACATTAAGTCGGATTTGCTGCCAAAGAAAGACAGCCCGGCCTTTACACTCAGAGCAAGACTCACATAGGCAGGCACGTCCCGCGAAAATTTCAGTTTGCTTCCTATTGTCGGACCGTCTTATCAATCTGATAATCCACACGCAATAGCGACATCCAAAGCATTCTCGCGACACCGGGGCTCCGTGTTTTCACATCCTCCCACCTTCTCTTTGCGGTCCCCCTTATCCCGAAGTACTCGACGCCCATCCACAGATCCCCCACAATGGCCGAGCAAATAACCGAGCAGTATCTGGTGGCCGCCCTACGCGACAAGCTCCAGGCCGAGACCGTCGAGGTCACGGACGTTTCCGGTACGTTGCCTGCGGAGCATGCGTGCTTTGTTTCCTCCCGGTACCCGCCTCGCTGACAATCACAGGCGGCTGCGGCCAGGCGTTCACCGCTATCATCGTGTCGCCACAATTTTCGGGCCTCAACTCGCTGAAGCGCCACCGCCTCGTCAATGCCGCCCTGCGTGAAGAAATCAAGAACATCCATGCGTGGAGCGCAAAGTGCCACACGCCAGAAGAGTGGGCGAAGGAGAGCGACAAGTCCGTAGATACGACGGCGGTGTCGGCATAAGAAGCCAGGACGGCGTGGCGGGTGGGAAGAGACAAAGAGCGCAGGTTTCTGGCTCGTTAACCTCATGATTACCTTAGTTTACGAATTTCATTCTGGAAGCACAGTTCGCAAAGGATACTATGCGTGGTATATATTGCGCGTACACGTCATACCTGCCGAGTAGATGCTGGCTCCGTAGAGTGATTGTTTACCGCATGTCACGAATCTTGGCGATTCCACACAACTGAACGCGCCTCGCTTCGAACAAAACTGTCTTCGGCGGACAGCACGGTTGGGATGGCTTGAGTGCGTCTACAAACCTAAAGATCATACAAGTCCTTACTTACATGATCGAGCGATAAACAGCAGGGATACATCCGTATTGCTTGTACTGCTTATATTGCTGGTATGTTTGTGAAAGAGCGATATGGCTCCGTAATGTATTTCACCGTAAGCGAGCCCTTTTTGGTGACCCCCCCTCCTCACATAGTCGGGTGCTCTTCTAAAATCGAATCCAAAAATAAAAACTGAAAAAAAAAAAAAAGCATGCGGATCGACAAATGCAGAAACAAGTAGAGCAATAGAGCAGCAATGAAACCTGAGACAAATCGCAAATGAAGCGCACAGAAGCGGACATGGACAACTTGCGCGCATTAGAACGAGGCACAGTCCTAATGCGACATCACCTCGACCGGGTGAGGACCATCGGGTGCAGGCTTGTCCGAATCAACGTCCATCGCATCATCCTCGGCACCTTCGGCAGCCTCGGCGCCCTCGCCCTCTTCGTCCTCCTCAATCTCGTCGTCACTCTCGCCTTCAATATCGACACTGCCATCGTCTGACATCTCGTCCTCCTCACCATCGGCCTCACCTTCAACCTCGCCCTCGCCACCAGCCTGCGCGGGACCAGCTTCGTCGGCGCCGTTCATGGCGGCGTCCTCGCCCTCGGGGTTCGGAGCAGGCGCGGCCGTCTCATCCTCCTCAGCGTCTTCGGCCTCGTCGGCACCGTACTCTTCCTCGTCTGCGGCCAGGTCGGCCTCGGGCTGTTCGGGGGGGAATTCGGCCGGTGCTGATGCGTCGGAATCCCTGGATAGTTAGTGGGGAACAGAAATAACATGTTTACGGTACTGTGTATTTATGACACGCAAATGGGACGTACCACTTGATGGCGAACCGTGTCACACGCGGCTTCTCCGCCAGCACATTCCGGCGGATGTGGTCGACCTGTGGCTTGGCCGGCGGGTCTGCGTTGAGCTCGTCCGAGTCGTATTCGTTGTTCACATAGTAGCCAACGCGCACAAACTCGCGGCCGTCGTATGCGCACGTCAGCAAAATGACAGTCACGCCCAGGATCTCGGCATCGGGGATGCGCTTCACGTCTGGTGGATCGGCCTCGAAGATGAACTTGTTCACGCCGACGGGAATCGGTCCGACGAGCAGCGAGTCGAGCTCTTGGTCGTGCTGATCGCTGGTGGCCGAGCCGACGTACGTCAGCTTCCACTCGAGGTCTGTCAACGGTTGGTGTCATGTTAGTTTCTGCGCTGCTGCCTAGTCCATTCTGCCGCCGCCCTGTCTCCATGCAGCTCGGAGTTCAACACAGGACACCTGGCCTACCCTTTTCCAGCTGCTCGAGACACTCAAAGGTGATTTCGAACTCATAAGAGTCCGTGAACTTGGCGGGGTTGTTGGTGACCTTGACGTCAAGGAGCGATACAATTGACATGTTGGGCGGTTGTGAAGCCGACTGGACGGCCGGTTTGAGGTTATTTGAGGTTATTTGTGGGTGCACAAAGGTCGGGAATGCAAAGCGCTTTTGAAGCGTGGAAAGTTGGGTCGTCGCAAGAGGAGGCGACTTCGATAGCGGGGAACGAGGATATGCGCAGCGGTGAGGAGTGAGTCTGGGTGGATTGGACGAATAGCCTGTGATGGATGTAAAGGAAGGAGATTATTAGAAAAAGACACGATGGAAGAAGTGGCGTGTCTGTATTTATGTTGTTGCGGTCAGCTGTTACTGTCGGTGGTGCGAATGGCGGGCGTCGTCTCTGGCTTGTAAGGAAGACGCAAAGCTGTGAAAACGCGGTCGCGCCGAGGGCCTAGTGTGTATCGCACCTGCCTCCCACCCAAACGAAGGCAAGGACGCGTTGAGTGGTTGCGCTTCGCCGCCTGGGACGCGCTCTTGCCTGTCGTTGGTCAGGGAGTCAGGGTACGTATTGTTATGTAATCCGCTATTTCCCCTTTTTGTGGCTGGGAAATATAGAAGGCTGGCTGGTTGGATCAGTACGTCACGTAAATACGCTAGACCTATCTAGGAATAGCGCATTTACGTTCTGCATGCAGCTTTTCCATTTAGCGCAGGCCGACAAGGGAGCAGCTTTGCTGCTTGCTTTCAGTTCAAATCTTTGCCTTTCCATCTCCCAAGGGCGCATCGACGTGGACAAATATACAGCATCGACAACCAGTCGTGGCGACGAACGGCAACAACCACGGCCCTGAGACAGTTGACTGACCGACTATCATTTCTCTGTATTGCACAGAACTCCCATTTCGCCCTCGCTGCCCTTTATTGTCTTTGGTCAGCATAGCGATGAGCCTGCTATAGCTTCCCATCATCGACATCATCCATCAACAACTCGACAAAGACGGCGTAGAGGACCATCTACGCCCATTAATCCAACTTGCGTTTTTGGATAGCGACGGCGGTCTTCAGTTCGCCAGAGAAGCTGTGAGGGCAGGGTCGACGTGCGCGCGCGGCACGAGCAGCAGACGCTTAGATAGCAGCTCACGCGACTGCTCAAGAGTCGGTCGACTCGCTCTCTCGCCCTTGAGCATTGATCTCGGGGCATCGACGGTATGTCAAGACACACCCGGCGGATGATATAGACTTTGAGCTGGAATCCAGATATGGAGCCTAGTGCAGCGTCCGCGTGTTGTTGACAGTCGCTAACTTCAAATTTAGGCTCACCTTCACGACGTGATTGGGTCGTCCACACCTCGAAACTAGCCACCGCGGTCACTACTTGCGATCATGGCGTCGACTGCCGACGAAGCCGCGGCCCTGCACGGTACCGACTGGGCTGAGAATGGAGCGGCTATGGATGAACAGGAGGCTCCCTCTGATATGATGCAAATTAGCGAGAGCGAAAAACAAGCTACAGATCTTGATGTCCCTGATGCTGTTGGTGATGCTGTGTATCCCCCCACTGTTTCTGCTACCGAATATGACCCTGGAGCAGCTATTGTTCCCACTGGTGATGAGGCTTCTGACGAAGAAGACGAAGGTGGAGAGGAAGACGAAGACGAGGAGGAAGAAGGTGAGGATAACGAAGAAGACGCTCCCACAGACGAACCGCACGACGGTATTACGGGTGTCATAGAATCGGCAGAGTTGACAAATCCAACACCAACGGCTGCACCAGCGTCGATTAAAAAACCGAAAGCCGTGGGTGGCTTCCTCGCTGAAGACTCCGACTCGGACGACGAAGACAAAACCGCACCGGCAACAGATGACGGTGACGGCGAAGAGTACGACCCGGAACAGCTGACAAGCACCTATGAACCCCCAGTGTCGACACACAATGGGGCCCCGCCGACACCAGCCCCGAACGATGGCCCCTACGGATCCTCTCACAATAATACACCGCACGCCCAGTCTGCACCGCCTCCAGTACAGGCACCACCTCAGGGTGGCCCAGTTGTGCCGGTACCGCAGCAGGCCTCCGAGCTTCTCGCACCGCTTGGCCTTCCTGGTGCGACCTCTGTGGCCGCTCTTGAGACACGGGTCAAGGATGACCCGCGCGGCGCACTCGACTCGTGGCTTGCATTAATCGATGACCACCGTAGGAACTACCGATTTGACGAGGCTCGGTCGACCTATGACCGGTTCTTTGAAGTGTTTCCTCAGGCGGTAAGTTTGCTTGCTATGCGTTACCATGTCCTGTTCCTGTACCTATGTATATAGCAGCGTTTCGTCCGTGTTTTCTGACTGCGACTAACAACTGCTTCATTTCTAGGCTGAGATGTGGGTTGCCTACCTCAATATGGAGCTCGAACTCGAAAACTTTACCGCGGCAGAAGCCATCTTCAACAAGTCACTCACAAAGGTTGTCAACGTGCCGCTCTGGCTTGTTTATCTCGACTATGTGCGGCGGCGGAACAATCTCACTGATGCCGGTTCCGAGGCCCGGACGGTAGTTGCTCGCGCGTACGAGTTTGTCCTCGACAACGTTGGCATCGACAGAGACTCTGGCCGAATTTGGCAGGACTATGTGCAGTTTATCCGCTCGGGCCCTGGCACTATCGGTGGCAGCGGCTGGCAGGATCAGCAGAAGATGGACCAACTGCGCAAGGCGTTCCGACGCGCCACCAGTGTACCAATCTCCAATGTTAATCAGCTGTGGAAAGAGTACGACCAGTTTGAGATGGGACTGAACAAGATCACCGGCCGCAAGTTCCTCGCCGAGCGCTCTCCGGCTTACATGTCCGCGAAGAGCGCCAATACCGCGTTGGACAACCTGACTCGTGGACTGAGCCCAACGACGCTCTCGCACCTGCCGCCCGTCGCTGGTTTCGAGGGCTACCAGGAATACATGGCACAGGTCGACCTTTGGCAGAAGCGGATTGCCTGGGAGAAGTCGGACCCGCTCGACTTACAAATCGACGAACCAGAGGTCCTCAAGGCACGCATCTTGTACTGCTACAAGCAAGCTCTGATACCGCTTCGGTTCTGGCCCGAGCTCTGGGTGGAGGCGGCCGAGTGGTGTTTTGAGAATGACATCAAGGAGAACAACCGGGAGAAAGGCCTAGACTTTCTCGTTGACGGCATCGAAGCCAACCCAGAGAGTGTCTTGCTCGCGCTTAAGCATGCTGACCGGATCGAATCGACTTACCCTGTCGAAGAGGGTGACGATGCCAAAGTGGCCCGTGGAGCCGCTGTCCGGAAGCCGTACGACAAGGTCATCCAGGCGCTGCGCGATCAATACAAAGCCGTGCAAGATCGCGAGAAAAACGACTTGGAGCGCCTCGAGGAGAGATTGGCGGCCTCAAATCAGCAGCCCAACAAGCACGATGACGACGACGACGACGACGACGACGACGACGACCGCCGCGGGTTCAACGGCGAAACCCGCAAGACAGCGACGGACGAAGAGAGGGAAAGACAGACTGCTTTCATTAAGCAGGGCTACGTGGTGCAGATGGACACGGTCTCCAAGTGCCTGACGCACGTATGGATTGCCCTAGCTCGTGCGATGCGTCGCATCCAGGGCAAAGGCAGCCCGCAAGGTCCCTTGGGAGGCCTGCGGCATGTGTTTGCCGAGGCGCGCAAAGGAGGTCGTCTTAAGAGTGACATCTACGTTGCCGTTGCGAAAATGGAGTGGAAGTGCTACAACGACAAGGCGGGTGGCAAGATTTTTGAGCGCGGCGCCAAGCTGTTCCCCGAGGACCCGTACTTTATGATCGAGTACATCAAGTACCTGACAGCCCACGGAGACAACACGAGTAAGTTCAACCGTCATAGTACAACCAACCTTCACATGGCCTAGGCATCCTTACTAACGCAAATGTAGACTCCCGGGTTGTTTTTGAGACATGCGTCAACAAGCTTGCACAGAAGCCGGACACTGTTCATAAGGCGAAGCCTCTCCTGGCGTACATGCACAAGCGCGAGGCCGAGTACGGCGAGCTGGCTCGTGTGAATGAGCTGGAAAAGCGCATGGCGGAGCTGTACCCCAACGACCCGAAACTGGCCCTGTTCAGCAAGCGGTTTGCAACGGAGAAGTTCGACCCGGTCAGTGCTCGTCTCATCATCTCGCCGGCGACGCAGCTTCGACCTCGCCTGATCCTGCCGTCGGTCGAGAAGCAGCCGGCCTCCCTGCGCAACAGCCCGATGCCTGGCCACGGATTGCGGGGTAACAGCCCGCGGATGCAGTTCTTGAACGCGCCAGGAGGCAGTGGCGGCGGCACCAACTCGCCCAAGAGGCCTTACGTCGCCGATGACTACGACGACGCCAGCGGCAACCTAAACAACCCACCACGCAAGATTCTCCGTGCGGTCGAACAGCGCGAGTTCCAGCGCGGCGAATCACCCCTCAAGGGTGCAGCCGGCCGTCGTCTGGATCAGCAACGGCGACTTGGCGGCGCCAGCGGTGGTGAATATGGCGGCTACGGGGGTGGTCCTGGTGGTGGTCCGCCAGCACCGCTGCCGACCATGGTAACCTTTTTGCTTGGCCAGATTCCGCCTGCTCCGCAATACAACGGTCTCCGCTACACGGCCCCAGGCCTTGTGCATCTGCTACGAGAGACGGAGATCGACCCCAACGCTGCGTACGAGGCGTCACGGCGAGGCGGTGCTGGTATCCGTAGCTATGGTGCGGGCGGCCGTGGGCAGCACGTCCGGCAGGTATCGGCATCGGACTATCATGGGAGCAGGAACTCACCCGGAATTGGTAGTGGAGGACGTGTTGCATCGGGTGGCTACCAGCAGTCATCGCTGCGCCCAGATTCACAAGATGCATACGAGCCATCGCCAGCGCAAGGCAGCGCACAGCAGTACGACTGGCAGCAGCAGCAGCAGCAGCAGCAGCCGCCACAAGGCCAATTTGGCGGGTACCGGTACTGATTTAGCTGCTAGGTCTAACTGAGATGAGATAGAGGGGAGGCGGGTTTGATTTACTGAGCAACGCATTTTGCATCAGGGAGATGCAGCCATATTGCGTGCATGTAAAGTACATTTCAAGAAAATCAAGAGACCCACCTTGGTACTACCTGACATGTGTTGCTTTCAGAACGACGTGGGATGCGACTGATTTCTTCGCACACTTTTTATTCAAAAATTAACCAACGTATCTGATTTTATTTGTATCCATTGCATTGCTTTGGTTTGCCCACCAAGTGTTTGCTGGCACTGCTATTCGTAGCCCTATTCGTAGCCATTCTGCTGTTTTGTTGAGGCAGAGATTGAGAGCTTGTCGCCCCATAAAAATGGCTTCCTCCTTGATGTGCGCCACCATTGTCTACCAATTATCGGACCTCGTCGTTCCTTCCTTCTTCGTCAATTGCTAACATTATATGGCTATCCTCAAGCTAGCTTATCGGGTCACATCCCAGCCGGACAGGTTGTCACCACGGTCCGACAATATGAAAGAACGCTCCTGAATAGGAAGCACCATGGTACAACTTCCTTCCCTTTTGGTGGATAGAGCAGTAACGGGCTTTCCACTGAATGAAGATTCGATTTTGAAGACAAGGAAAGAACGGCTCTGACAGAACAGTCATTGTAGACAGACGTACCAGCCGAATAATCGTAGCCAGTACCTGGAATGAAGGTGGAGTGAAGTCTGTCTTGCAAACAACAGCTGTGTGACTGCAAAAAGCAGTCCAGACAGGACACAATAACGCAGAAAGGACTGATCCGAAGGCTATGTCAGGCTGGCATTGTAAATATAGACAGCTTGGTAGCCGACGCTCGTGTGCTCCTTCCATTTTCAAATACATGCTCTTAGTCCAGACAATCGCTCCTTCCCTGGCTGTGCCCTGCATTGACGTCCTCTGTTTTGGCGTGGCAACTGCCTACCGCGTCTTCTTTTCGAGAGTTTTTTTTCTTCTTTCTTCTCTTCTTTCTTTTTCTCCACTCTCTCCTCCTCCTGTCTCTCTACTCACCAGAGACAGTGTTGGTCGTTTGTTATCACCACTGCATCTCCCCTGCTCTACTGTCAAATCCTGGTCACCAGGATCGAATCAGCTTGACCAGGACCAGCTTGCCTTTGCGTTGTTGTCCGCATTGACTGTCTTTGTTGTTGTTCCTCTCTTTGTTTTCTCTGTTGCCTCTCAAATACATCATCACCTTCTGCGCGCTTCGGTGGTGTTGTCTTACGCCCCGGTGCTGACTTATTTGTTTGCTTCCCACTCACCGTACCGGCGTCTGCCACAGCAAGCTCTTGTCACATTGGTATTGAATAATGCCAATACTCGCGTCTAAATCTCCAAATATCAATCACATTCAAATCTACTTCAGATTTGCGCTGGTACGTTTATCATTTGATGTTCATAACGACATCACATACACCCGATCACCACATCACCACTCAGCGACTATATGGCCCTCACCTTGTCATCCCTTTGAACACCACCTCTGCGTCGTCTCCCGCCTCACTTCTATCATCTCATATCTTTCTCTACATGTGACAGCATTTGTTTGCCAGTCTCTCTGTTTGTCACGCCGATCAGTGTTCGTCACCTTACCCACGACTTCTCCTCCCACGACTATAAATATCTTCCCTCAGCCCAGTCCCTACCTACTTTCCATCTCACTCCCTCTCTCCCTCCCTCACTCCCTCCATCTCTCTCTCTCTCTCTCTCTCCTTTTTCTTCAACAGCCTCTTGAATCCGACCAAACGCATCCCTTCTCTCTCTTCTACGCACTTGAAAAAGCCACTGAGTTTTCCAGATCTTACTTGCACCGCGTCCTCGGCCTCTATACGCACCTCTCGATACCTCTCCTCAGAACCTGCAGCCCAGTACTGTTACTCCCCCTTCGTACAATTTTATCCCTCTAACACAGTTAAGCAGAGGGCATTGTGCGTCGCTTGAATTGATGCAAAGTATGTTTACTGCAAACCCGTGTCGCTGTCCTATTTCAGGTTGACATCGCATTGGCAACTCGAAGTAAAGCAACATCATGAGATACGAGAGCTAACCAACCCTTGTTTTATGTTGGCAGCCTGCTTTTTCCTTTGACAATGACAGGTCGTCCTCCGCAACAGGGCGGACCGCCACCCGGTGGCCAACGCCGCCTCTCGCAGGGTTCCCAGAGCGGTGGACCTCCTCGCGGGATGGCTCACCAACGTGGCACGTCGCAGTCTTCCCAACAGGGGCGCCCCCCCAACCTAGATGTTTCCCAGCAAATCCCGTCGGGCTCGCCTGGTCCGTCTAGCCCCCGAGGGGCGCCGAACCCGTTTGGACCCGGTTTGGGTTTTGATCCCGCCCGCAACAAGATAGAAGAAGCGAAGCGCCGGGAAAAGGTAGTTCCCAACCGGATGGACCTGCCGCCTGAGGCGTACAGCATGGCACGTTTATTTCCTGTTTCCCTTCTTTTTTCTCCTGCCTCAGTTCATATACATACTAACCAACATATTCTCTTTATAGGATGGCAAGAAGCCACTCTTTGCTGCCCGCCCGGGCTACAACGAGAAGGACAAGCCTCTCAACATTCGGGTGAACCAATACCGAGTGGAACAGACCAACAGTGTCACTGTGTACCAATACGCTGTAAGATAGAACTTTCCAATTGCCGAGGCTGACATCGAAAACAAAATTCATATCTCTAACGCACCCCGAATAGGTGTCGCTGGTTCCTGAGCCACCCAAGGCCATCGTCTACAAGAAGTGCTGGGCGTCTCATGCTGTCCAAAAGCAACTCGAGCGACAGCCCCAGGTCTGGCTCTACGACGGGCGAAGCTTGGCCTGGTACGTCCATATTCTTCCACTTTCTTTATATTTCATTCCTACTTGGAGACCAGTCCTCCTAACATTACATTTCACAGGTCTATCTGCAACCAGCCTGGCCCCGTCAAGATTGCGATTGACCTGGATGCCGAGGCCGGCAAGACAACCCGCCCGGGGCATCCTAATCAGTATATCATGCTGATTAGGCAGACAAGTGCCATCTACCTGGACAGTCTGATGTCGTACTTGCGTGGGAAGAGCGGGTGGGATACTCACATCTTGGAGTGCATGAACTTTTTCGATCACGCCCTCCGTCAGAAGCCGTCGCAGTCTATGACTGCTATCCGTCGTAATTTTTATCACCCGCAGTCGCCGAAGCGCGATCTCGATGGCACCATCTATGCCGCAAAGGGCATTTACGCAGCGTTCCGGCTCTCTGAGTCGGTTCGCACGGGTGGCAGCGGTCTCGGTATTAACGTGGACGTTGCCAACACCACGTTTTGGAAGGATCAAACTCTTGACAAGCTTGTCATGAACCTGATCAACATTTCCAGCGACAAGTGGAACGTTCGCACTGCCACAGAGGCCGCGCAGCTTTTGCGGCCCATCCAGTGGCACCTGAACACCAAGCTCAAAGAGCCGACCATGTCCGACGCCTTCAAGGTCATGCGTCGCCTCCACAAGCTGCGCTTCAAGGTCTTTCACCGGGGCAAGACTAACGACTCTAAGATTTACACAATCGCCCGATTTGCCTGGCACCAGAGATTCATGTTTGAGGGTGCGACGTCTGAGACCTACACGTTCACGCTTCGTAAAACTGGAGAGACTCGGACAGTCTACGACCACTATCTCAAACAATACGACGTCCCACTTCAGTACCCGAAGTACCCAGTCATTGAAACAACACGTGACGGGGCGTTTCCTCTCGAAGTCTGCCATATCCTGCCCTGGCAGCGCTACAACTTCAAGCTGAATGGGCAGCAGACGTCCGACATGATCAAGTTCGCTGTTACGCGGCCCGCTGAGCGTGCCAAAAGCATCATGGAAAACGTGAAGCGACTTGGTTGGGACTCTGACGAGTATCTGCGCGAGTTTGGCATCCGTGTCAACCCCGACATGTCCAAGGTGCAGGCCCGCCTCCTCAAGCCGCCTGTTGTGAGCTACAAGAACGGCAACGCCACCCCTGGCACAAGCGGACGGTGGGATCTCCGTTCGAAACTGTTCTACATCAACAACAAAGGCCGGGAGTTGCGTTCGTGGGGAGTTGCTGTGGTGGACAATTGTATGGACTTTCCAGCCGTTCAGAACTTCATCCGCGTCTTTACCAAGACCTTCAAGGATCACGGTGGCCTTGTCGAGAAGAACCCACACTTGATGAAATTTCCCCGCGGCAAAGATCTGGGTGACGCGTACCAAGAGGCGTACGATGCCACGACAAATGCCAACGGCGGAGAGGATCCGGTCATCATGTTTTGGATTCTGCCTTCCAAAAACTCCTTTCCGTATTACCGCTTGAAGAAAAACGGCGAGTGTCGCTACGGCATGGTTTCTCAGATGCTGAATGCAGCGCATGTTGCCAAAGCCCAGCCCCAGTACTGTTCCAATGTTTCGATGAAGGTCAACGCCAAGCTCGGTGGTACCACCTGCCGCGTTCCGGCAGAGGGCGGATCTCCTTCTGCGCCGGCATTTTTCAACCAGCCTACCATGATCATTGGTCTTGATGTGTCGCACGGCTCAACCAACATGAAAGGCGAGCTGGAGCCCTCCATGGCCGCCATGGCCGTGTCGTGGGACAAGGACGCCGCCAAGTACTCGGCATTTTGTCAGACCAATGGCTACCGCCAAGAGATTGTGAATCCAGTTCGGATGACCAGCATGTTTGAAAAGGCACTTCGGAAGTGGACCGAAACGCTCAACTGCAAGATGCCTGCACATGTGTTCTACTTCCGTGACGGTGTCAGCGAGGGGCAGTTTATACAAGTGATGGACTTTGAAGTTGCCCAATTAAAGGAAATCTTCCAGAAGCGTTGTGGTCGCGTGCCGAAGTTCACCGTTATTGTGGCCACGAAGCGTCACCACATCCGCTTCTTCCCAGAGCCCAGCTCTGCCGACCGCAATGGCAACCCACTGCCTGGTACCCTGGTGGAAAAGGAAGTGACCCACCCTTTCCACTACGACTTCTACCTATGCTCGCACACTGCCATCCAAGGCACTGCACGCCCAGTTCATTACCACGTTATCCACGACGAGGTCAAGATGCCACCCCATCTTTTGCAAAAAATGATCTACCAGCAGTGCTACCAGTATGCGCGCTCGACAACCCCGGTGTCTCTACACCCGGCGGTTTACTATGCTCATATAGCTGGTGACCGTGCTCGGGCTCATGAAAACGTTGAATCGGATCGCAAGGACCCGGAGCTCATCAAGAAATCGGTGGAGAACTGGACGGCGAAGAAGTCCTCGGGAAGCATCACGCATCCGACGGAGTCTCTTCCACTTCTGCCATTCGGTGCCAAGGAGTCCCATGAGAAGAATCGCAACTTCACGCCGTGGACGATGTGGTTCATCTAAGACACTATTTGTGGGTGCTCAGTTCTCTACGCCGTTGACTAGGAATGCGGGTTTGCAAAGGCAGCGCTTTTAAAGGCCGTGGTTCTTGAGATTCGATGATTTTTCAACGACAGCATTGTTTCTGTACTGTTATATGCCTTGTTTTCTTTGTTCAAGTTAGTCGCACGAAGAAGGAGCTGAGATGCTGTTGTCTGCAAGCACCTGCAAGAAGCCAGAGCACAGGACGTGATGGATCTCACGAGAGATGTGCAAGCAGTGTGCTGCAGTTGGTGGTCGTTGCGCTTGCGTTTGCTTTTATATCTTATTTAGAGGATCTCCGTGCTGTCGAGACGAGATGCCATTACAGATAGTTATATGAAAAACTTGAGTTCTACTCCAAAGAAAGGACAAAGAAGCCAGCAGGTGACAAAAACCGTAGCATGCCGCCACATCGACTCAAGTTGCAAGTCGTTGGTGATCCGCGCGCTGCAGGTGCGATTTCACGGCTTCTTAGCTAAGACGTATCGATGTTTACTTGTAACGGCGATCGCCAACTTTCTACCAAGCCCCTACGTTTGTCGCTTTGATTGCTCGTGGCTACTTTTTCGTATGTATGCCTCTTCTCAGGTAGTCTGCTCATTTGACCTCCTAAGATCTCTATATCCTTCCGACACCATTCATGTGCCTTTTCTTTAAGCATGTTTTTCTATTTCAGCTACGCAATCTCACGTTGATGACTGAACTTAAATTTGGACTTAACTTATTTTATTGCAACTTGAATTTCTGAACGTTGAAATGGCGGCGTTTTAAGTTAAAAACGCCAATTTCACACGTACATTGGAATACAATTTTTCTAAAATTGGAAATAAAAGCAGGATAAAAGAAAGAAAAAAAATAAAAAATAAGAACAAGTTGTTGGTACTAAACGGAAAACAAAAAGCAAAAGAAGTGAAAATCGACAGTTAAAATAGTAATCGATAACACTGGATATTTACCCGATACGGGGGTCGAACCCGTAACCTCAAGATTAAAAGTCTTGCGCGCTAGCCAATTGCGCCAATCGGGTCGTATTGTAATCGCATACGCAGACTATTTCATGTTATCAAGGGAGGTCTGAAAAGTAAACTTAGTCTTTCTGCGACCGCGACAATGCGCAAATGGCAAATCCATGCATACAATCCATCAATAGACGTTTCCAGATATAGGATGCCCTTTCATTTAAAATAGTACAGTCGCCGGGCTTCCGTACCATTTATTTTTAATTCTGGAAATTAAACCTTTCCATTTTAGGCGTCATCCGCCAATTGGGAACCACCGCTGGAGTGCTGCTCGGAACCACTGATTGATATCACGATATATGTACAGTTTACAAACACCAAATTGTAAAGACTGGTTTGTTTTGTTATTTTCTATAGATATTTCAGGTGGCGGGGTGGGCAGTGTAGTGTAAGTGACAAGCATGTCCAGAACACGCCACTGTTATTTATCAATGTAAGCGGTTGTCATGATCTTCATACAATGAGAAAAATAGACTGGCAGGAAGTCTCGCCTTCATGCTACAAATGACTCCTACTCGACCCCACATTCTAATTCACTCATCATTGCGGTGTACCAAGGGGGCAGCTCGCTCTAGTTATGCCCACCAATTCCAAAACGAAACCATCTCAACCACTCCGAGCTTTTAGCCCGGCAAACAGTTCACAGCGTTGCACGAGTTCCGCTGGTGTGCCAAAATCAACCACCATTCCGTTGTCTAGCACCAAGGCGCGGTCATAATCCATCACAGCCTCGAGTCGATGGTTGATAGCAATCAAAGTCTTGCCAACAAGCCGTGTCTTGATGAGGTTCTCCATCTTTTCCTCTGTATCCTTGTCCACACTGCTTGTCGCCTCGTCCAGCAGCACGATGCCACCCCTGTTCCCGCCTTGGGCGCCCTCGCGTCTCTCAACATCGAGAATGACTCGGGCAACGCTTAGCAGTTGCTCTTCGCCTACCGAGAACTTGAAGTTTCCCTTGCTGGCTGTCAGCCCGCCAGGTGTGTTCATCACCATATCCAGAACGCCGCATTCGCGGAGGACCTGGACAATATGTTCGTCAGAGAAGGCCGCATGGGGATCGATCCACTGACGCAGCGTATCAAAGCCAAGGTGTGGAGTGTCCTGGGAAATAATGTAAAAGCTTTTGCGGAGCTTCTCTAAGGACATGTTGGTGTGTCTAAAACCGTTGATAAAGACAGACCCAACCGGGATGTTGACCATGCGTAGCAACGCGAGATGCATCGTTGACTTGCCTGAGCCAGTCTTGCCGCAGATTGCGACGCGTTCGCCGGCGCGGATATCAAGCGTGACGCCCCGAAGGCTCCAGTGCTGGCCCTGCCGGGGGCGACCGTTTTCGTCCTGGGCAGTAACTGGGTCCACGTCGTCGGTAATAATGTCATCGTATGTTGCCCACACATTCTCAAATCGAATGGTGCCAACACCGGGATCCTGGATTGCTGGGGGCTGCTGACTACCCCCTGCGGCGACGTCTTCTTCAATGGCAGTTTGGCGTTGGAAAAGACTGATGCGTGCAATAGCACCAAGCGACGTTTCGAGGCCTGTCCAGGCCGTCACAAACTGTGTGATTGTCTCGCCAAAGGTGACGGCGTTGAGGAAGGCAACACCAACGGCGCCAGGGCTGATCCTGGATTTCGAGGAACTCTTCAAAGCGACTGACGTGCCCAAGACAACCACCACGAGCCCAGCAACGCTCAAGTTCAGCACCAGTTGCAGCCACCGCTGCACTGCATACAATAAATACAGTGGTTCTTGGGAGCGGTCCATCTTGTCGTCAAACCTGTTTCTTGTCTTGTCCACCCAGACTGGGCCATGTGCGCGGATGGTTGAGAGCCCATCACCTGCGCCTGTCTCAGATATCTTGGTAACGAGGGCAGCCTTGGCTTCCAACTCATGAAGACGAAGCTGTTTCGACGTGCGCAGATAAAAGTGCTGTACAGCATAGAGAAGGATCAGCATGGCAGGCACGACACCGAGGGCAGGCCACGAAGATGCAGAAGCAATCAGTGCCACCTGAATGAGAGCCGTGAAAAACTCGGACGCCGTATTGAAGAGATCCAAGGGTAGCTGCATATCAACCAGCATCAGATCCTGACTAAACCGGTTGAGAGTGGTGCCTGTGTCGATCTGGCTGATGACTGGGAACTGCGCTTTAAAAACGGTCGTAGCAAGTTGTCCGTGGAGGTTTTCGCCAGAACGGGAGACAATATTGAACTGCTGGTGATAAAGCCAAGCGGTGAGAACAAAGAGAGCCAAAACACCGAGTCCAGCGTAGACGCCCAGCCAGTATCCAAGAGGTTTGCTGCTGTCACCTGAGTCCACAGCGTCGGTCCACCACTGGATCCATACGTCGGAGAACTTGAAGCTGATGGCCCAGGAGATAGCACCAAACAAGAAAACCGTCGAGTGTACCCACCCCACGGACTTGAAGTAAACTTTGAACACGGCCAAGTCTCCAAGGAGCTTGTGTGCCATGGCCACTCGCGGCGGCTCTTCTTCCTCGGATGTGTCTTCCTCGTTTTCTGAGAATCGTGGTTTTGGCGCCGCGTTGGTAGCGTTGCTGGCGAGCTCGGGCTGTCCAGTTTCCACAATATCCAGTGATGCAGACGGCTCATCCTCGCTGCCATGGCCTTCATCAGCGACAATATCCAAGGAGATCTTGGACAGGTGCCCGGATTCGTCGATTCGATACGCTTCGTCGGCCAAGCGAGCAATGTTTTCTGCAGATATATTAGCGAAAGGAAGTATTGTGATAGTATATTCTCTCCCTAAGAAACATACCATCATGCGTGCTGTAGATTATGGTTCTGTCAGAGTTCGCATGGCTAAGAAGCATCTCGGAAACATGTCGTCGCGTCTTTCTGTCCAAGGCGCTAAAGCCATCGTCGATGATTAACAGACTACTTTTTGTTGACAGAGCGCGGGCGAGAGCGAGTCTCTGACGCTGGCCACCACTTAGCATAACCCCGCCGGTGCCAATGGCTCCCGACGTAAAGGTGGGCAGCTGGATGATGTCGTCGAGCATGCAGTTCGAAGCAATCTCACGGTAGAAATCAGAGTTGAACGTCTCACTGCCGTACTGCGTCAGGTTTCGCTTGGCAGACATGTTTTCGAGCCATGGCTTTTGACTGCAGTAGGCAAGGGATGTAGTCGGAGACAGCGAAAGTACTCCGTGGGTTTTGTACACCTCGCCAATTATGCCCTTCAAAAGAAGCGTCTTCCCACTGCCAACGGGCCCAACAATCGCAGTCTTTGATCCTTTCTGGACTTCAAGATTAATGTTTGTGAGAACAGGAGTGTCGGACTCATTCCATGCGAGTGACACATCCTGTAGTGAGACAATCGGTGCGTCGGCGCTGCTGATAGCTGTCTTTTCAGCAAAGGGGCCGTTGTGTCCATTTCTGAAATCTCTGAAATCGGTTTTTTCTTTCAGCTGAAGGAAGGTATTCAGCCGGCCAAAGCAGCCATGGGCAGCACCGAGACTGGGCAGTACCTGGAAAAGTTGGACCAAGGGCGAAGACAAAAGGGCAATAATGACCAAGGATGTGAAAATGGTGGATATGCTAAAGTCTTGGTGCCCGCCGCCAGACGTCCCAACACCGACGTAAACGCCCAGAATAAGAGGCGGGGACAGGATCATAGTGCAGTATGCTGTGAACCAATTCAAATCAGTTACGGTTTTGCGTCCGGACAAAGGTAAGCTTCATAGAATTACAAAATTTGAACTTACACAAGAAGCAGGATATAATAATGATCCAGCGAAAAGGAGCCGAGTCCTTTATTTCCGCCGCCCGTAACTTGTTCAGCATGTCATATGCCACATCGTCTTGAGAGGTCATTTTAATACCCTTGAGGCTGTCCAGCATGTGCTTTGTGCTCTTCAGGCGATTCTGTGTGGCGGCAAGCCACTGCTGCTGCCGCGCACCCATCTGCTTCACACTCTGTGTAGAAGCCAAACCGGCGACTGTCGCTGTCAGTACAAAGGTTCACTATCGGCACAGACGTGTTCTTTCATTTCGATTCTTTTCTTTTTTTTTGTTTTTTTTTCTAACTCACTTGCAGCAACTCCAAGCATGACGAGGCACGACGGTCCAAGCTGCCGATAGAGCAGCCACGTCGCTAGGCCAGTTTCGATTGTGCCAGCCCACACCTCGTGGCCGCGGGCACAGGCGCGCATGATCCGTTCCACGTCGTTGACCACAAGCGTCGTAGCCTTGGACTCTATGTCATCACCCTCGGGCAGCTTCATCAACTTGTCGAAAACAACACCTGTGAGTCCGCCACGAATCATTATGGAACACCGGTAGGCCTGGTGCCAGTACCAGCTGGTGGCCGCCGCAATACCAACGTATGTAAGAGCGGTAGCGCCGATGAGTCCATATCCATAATTGCGCGAGGCGGGCTGGTTTGGGTCTGTCTCTGACTGCAGGTAGGTCAAAGCCGCCTTTGCGAGGAATGGCTGTGTAAAAGAAAAGGCTGTAACAGCGAGTCTGGCGATGATAGGGCCGGCCAGGAGATTGCCGAGCGACGAAAATGTGAGAACAATAAGACGATTTGTTGATACGCTGGCCGCGCTCTTGTTCTCCTTGTTTACATACTGGTCGCGAACGCGCTGGAATTTGGGACGGAGGCGCACGGAGAGCAAGCGATCGTCAATAGGACCAAAATCAGTCGCCTGGAGGGCGTTACGGTAACCGACCAACAGCAGGCTGTTCAGCCAGTGGAAAACAGTGCGGCTGATAGGCCCGGCCAGGATTTCGGCGGGGACCTGTTCATTTTCGCGGAGCAAAATAAGAAGCTCTTTCTTGCCTTTTGTCTCCAGGTAGAGAAGCACAACTCGAATTGCAACGGTGACGGTCAGTGCGATGGCCAGCCCAATCTCTGCGCCGTTGGTAGAGCCGCTTGCTCTGGCGACGAGCCAGGACGTGCGCGTCCTTGTGGAATCAAAGAGGGATGTCAAGACGAGGAAAATCGACAAGAGCGCTGAAGGCCGGCGCGATGTAAAGTGCTCGATATGCGAGACCAGTGGCAGAAAGATGCTTGTCACAACGAGCGAGACAACAGCACTGGGAATCGATGTAGTTGTCTTGTTGGGTGCCCGCGCCTGGAAAACAAGGACAGCGACTTGGGCTGCTGTCAATGCCGCAATGGAACAAAGCTTCAGCGGGTAGAGACGTCCACTGCGCACCAAGGCAGGCGACTTGTGTCGATATGCAATGACGACAATGGCGCTGGCCAACAGAGCAAACGTGCCAGCAGGGATGATTGTGAGCACGGCCTCTTCGAAGAGAACTGTAAAATCGAACTCTCGACGGCAAGACGCGACAGCTGGGCCGAAAAGCGTATCGGCCGCGAAGCCGCACAGAGATGGGTCCATAACAGAGGTATGTCGATGTCTGTTGATTGTGTCGCTCGTGTGTCTTAGTGCCTGGACCAGAGTAAGCTTAAACCGAGTAGAAAGTGAAAAGAATGAGCGCGACACTGGGTATTTCTCTCCGAAACGACATGCTACACACAGTCGATCAATGCAGTGATTACCCGACGGATGCGGCTTGGGTCAGCCAAAGCGACAACGGTGGCAGAGATGCGTCCAAAAGTACGGTTCCGGGCCAAGCCTGAAGAGGAAGGAGACTGGCCCGCAATCATGGCGTGCTGCATGCTGATAGCCTTTGCTATGAGCAACATTGTTGATTTCTTAACCAGGCTGGGACAACGAACGAAGCCTTTTGCATTTCGATATTAGCATGGCCATTCAGGGGTTCGATTAGCTGCCATTGCGTGATGGTGTTGTGTCAGGTTGGACAGTCGTAAGCAGCGGGTCTAAAGCCCATGCTCCGTGTTCCCGAACCTGCTGCCTGGGAATTTATTGCCGACAAGGAGTATGCCGCACCGTTGATAGCGTCTCGCGAAGGTGCAATGCTCAAGATTTAGAAAAGTACGCGTCAACAACTTTTTTTTTTTTTGTTTTCGCCGGCGATCACTTATTGCGATGACTGCATAGTTGTTGTAGGGCGGGAAGGTCCGATCAATAAGAGACTGGACACCGTACGTTCAATCAACGTGTGGTCTCGTGTGGCCTTTGCCAGGAAAGAGCGACCCGGAACGCCCCTACGCCCTTACATTTTAGGGCAAGAACGTACGACGACGCGACATGGCAAGCACCACCCACGAAGAAACGCCCTTGCTGGCCGATGACCGCATCGACAGCGATGTTGATGCTGGCCTTGCGAGACCGGGCGCGGGCACAGACGATGATGAAAATGCCGTCGCAGGTTCTGTTACAGCAGCCCACCGCCGTCGAGTGATGATTGTGATCTTTGCACAGGTCATTATGATCGACTTCGCCGCCTTCTTCCTGGACGTGCCCCAGACAAGCATCCTCGAACGCATTATCTGCGACCGGTACTACAACACTGACGGCGCAAAGAGCGGTGCTGACGACGGCACAATTAGTGTACTGCCGGACTGCACAGCCGGACCTGTCCAGACGGAGCTTGCGACCATCACCCAGATGCTCAACACATTCAACCGTCTGCCAGGTCTCTTTGTGGCCATCCCTCTGGGCATGGCAGCCGATCGCTATGGTCGACGTCCCATCATTATTCTAGTCCTTGTCGGTGCGCTGCTTCAGGACGCCATGGCCAAGGTCGTGCTGTGGCGTCCAGACCTGTTTGCGCCGCGCCTCATATGGCTGTCCTCCTTGGCCGGCTTTGTTGGTGGCAGCGATGCGGTGGCGTCCTCCGTGGTCTATCTCGTGGTGGCAGATGTGGTCTCGCCACAGGAGCGTGCGCAGGTGTTCTTTGCCTTGACGGCCTGCCAGAAGATTGGAGAGATTGCCGGCACGCCGCTGAGCTCACTTTTGATGTACACGTTCAGCCCCTGGACGCCATATTTCCTGTCCACAGCACTTACACTGCTCGCATTTGCAGTTTTGCTGCTCTACCTCCCAGAAACACTGCAGAAGACCAAAACTGTACAATCAGTGGAGGCCTCGGATGCAGACGAGGAAGCGGAGGAAGCGACCCACGACGCGTCAGCACGTACGGAATCGGTACCCCGTGCGATTGTGCGCAAGTTCCGGCCTCTGTTGAAGACCAATATTGTTGCTGTCATATTGGCCTTCTTTGTGTCGGCACTCGGGCGACAGGCAACCAGCTTCTTGCTGCAATACATCCATCAGCGATTCAACTGGACATACGAAAAGGTAGACAAGCAAGTCAGCCGTGCAAAACAATGAAATACACACGTGGTGCCGTTTTTGCTAACAGCCATTAGGCAAGCATCCTGGTCACGCTTCGCGCAGCAGTGGACCTCGCACTGCTGTCCGTTGGCCTTCCGCTTTTCAATCGAATTCTCGTCCAGCGTTATACGCAGAACGTATATGCCAAGGACCTTTTGATCAGCCGTATGTCTGCTGCCTTCTTTTCCGTTGGCTCGCTAGCCATTGCGCTCGCACCAATCGTGCCTCTGGTGGCCCTCGGTATTATTATATTTGCGCTTGGCTCAGGTTTTCCTCCCGCAGCACGGAGTCTGGCCACCTCCTTTGTTCGACAAGACGAGGCTGGTCTACTGTACACGGCGTTGGCCCTGGCACAGACAATCGGTGGGCTTACGGCTGGGCCGCTTCTTGCGTTCTCATTCGAATGGAGCGTCAACCATCTCGGTCACGACTGGACGGGCATCCCCTTTGTCCTTGTTGCCGGTTTGTTTGCATTTGCATTCATGGCTCTCACGTTTGTACGAATATAAGCAAACATGTGTTCTCCTTGTGTACTCGTATCCGTACTAGAGACGTTAGTTATTATCAAAGAAGGCCGTCGACTGGGAAAAATAGAAGGAATAGCCTTGTTTTACAGATTAAAGCGAATATGTGCTGTTCTGGCCATCGAATCTGGCGGAACGGCCGCCGGCTTTTGCCGATTCAGCAGCGGCGAGAGTCACATATGGTACAATGTACATAATACAAGGCTTTCACAAGTCCAATTTAACGCCAATAAAAATAGGCGCCCCTTTTCACGGACTTCACCTGGTCATTATTTATTAGTCGTAACCCGTCCTTTTAAGACCTTGTTATGTATTATTTTAAGGGGTTTTAACAAGAAGGATGTACCGCGATCTTACCCGGTAAGAGATTGAAGGATGCGACGGTTTGTCTTCGAGGCGTTGTAAAACGGACTTTGAGGTTGTAAATTGTATCCTTGATCATCTCATCATATTCCCCAAGCACTTGAGGGAGATTGTCATCTAGATTACCGCAGAAGATGCGATCTCAACTTTCTGCCTAGAATAGGTAGGGGTCTGCTAGACCAGATTTGTGCAACTGCCTATATTACGCGGACCTGTATTTACGTCTATTTTGGGATTTACCCTCTGTCTAGAGGTAGACATAGTTGAGAGAATGAACGGCTTCAAAATTGGCAATCTTGCTGAACAGTACAAGTCATTTGACCAAACGAGGGACGCGGAGAGGTAGAGTTGGATGAAAGCAGTTAACGCGTCGGAGACCATTGCTGCAATATCAAAATATTTACATGCGGGGACGCACCAGTCGCATCACGCCTCCGTGATATATTCCCATCCTCAAGTAAGCATGCCACTCCCATACTTTTTGTTGCTAGAGCTAAGGATAAAAAGAGAAAAACATCATAGGCTCTCAAATAGGGCAGCCCGCATTCCGTTCGCATGGGTGAATGAGACATGGCAGCGAGAGACAACTCTCTGAGAATTTTGACGAGCCAGTCGCATCTCAGTCTCATCAAAATAGACAGGAGAACTGGGGCTCGGTCTTGAAATTGGACCTCCACTCAAAGAGTAACAGACCGTGTATGTCAAGCTTCGTATCGAAGTCACCTTTTCAGCTCACGTAACTCCTTTTATGTTGCGGGTACACTGTTCCACCAAGTTGTTTGGTAGCTCTCTTGGTTATCCTTAATCTATAAAATATTGTACGGCCCTGAATGAAGCTCAGACCTACTCCCGATATATCGATATCCCTACTGCGGGATGCACTTGCATTTAAATATACTTTTAGAACCAAACTAACCGACGACGCCTTATTTAACGTGCTTTTCTTTTTTTCTTTTTTTCTTTGTTTTTGTTTGCAAAATCATAATCCCAAGTCCCTGCCGCCAAACAGAGTTCTTCATGAGGGTCACACTGGAGCTTTACATCCGAACCTCCTTGTTGCAGTCTGGGGCTGAGGTCAAAATGCATCCCCACCTGGGCCTTTTTTTCTCTCTCGAATTCTCCCACTCCACGTATCAAGCTCCTGGTTTGCTAGTCGCTTTTAGGATGCGGGTCACAGACGAGCCTCGGCTTGGTTCAAGAGCACAGGGGCCAAGAAAATTTCCGGCGAGCCAAAACGGACATGGGCAATTGGGAAGGATGCCAAGATAAACAAACGCCCAGACTGAAAGGGAGCGAACACGCGGATGCCATTGGCTTACGATATGCATGACGAAGTCCGGCCAATTTGTATTGGAATGTCCGTCATCGATGCTAGCAGTTGTCTACGACTTTCCTGCGACTTACAATTGTTCTTGCCGATTTGCGCCAAGCCTTTCCCCCGCAACCACGGAGTAGAGAGGAGGCAAGGGCATCAACGCTAAGACAACGACTGCTGCGGAATGAAAAGAGTGCGGGGAATGTGGAGAGATGCGCAGGATGGGCAATGAAGATGCAGCGGTAGTCCCACAAGGATCTAGACTCAACCCTGTAATCCTCCTCGGCATGAGCGCGTGTCATTCATTCGCAGTCTCATCCCTCTCCTTCTTCCGCTCTTTGATATCTTCCCAAGTTCTTTTCAAAATTCGTTTCGGGTGCCTTTATGAGACCTCTCGATGCTAACCGTTACTTTTTTTTTTTTTTTTTTTTACTAATTTTCCCAGTACTTGTATTTTAACTTTAATAAGATACGATAAAAGAGATTCGCACAAGCATTCGCAAAGCACAGTCAGGTCACGAACACGAAACAAAGAAAGGCGCGACTTGCAAATGAAGGGCAGAGACTTGGAAACAACCACGCGCCAGATATGCACGCCGTAACACTACAGACACAGACACAATTGCAATTTTGGTACTTAACTGGCAGCGACCTAGTCACCGGCCTTGGCCACTTGATCGGGGATCGCCTCGAGCACTTAAGAGGGGAAGGAGAGGGGAAAAGTTGCTTCCCCGGGAGTTGCCCGAAGTGGAAAGGTCACGTACAGGAGAAATGTTGGGGGAGGAACGAGAACAAGATCAAACTCACGACGTACTTCGTACAACGTACGATGCATTATTCCTCATAGGAGACGACGAAAGAGCGGAAAGTAGTTGAGTGACGGTAGTAGAGTCGGGGCCGTGCAGCCACCACCTTTTGTCTTTCCGTTGGCTCGAGAATCAAGGACTGTCGAAATTATGCACGAAGCAGTTTGTTGCCCCTTCACAGTTTGCCCTCCTTGGTGTTAGGCGGACGCTCCCTCTCCTGGCATGAACAATAAACGACTGTTGTCTGTTGTATCGTATAGACTTTTGCCATAGGACTTTCCCTCCATCGTATCGTCCCCATTTTTCAACGTTTGGGTGTTTCCTTTTACTCTTGATAACACCGATAACACGTCACCGCGAAGCATTACTGCCCCCCACGTGTGTCTTTGTTCATTTTTGTTTCTTTGCCTCTCTCTCTTGGTACACCGCTTGTTAGTCGTCTTCATTCAAACATAGCATCCCCACATTATGTTTTCTTGGCAAAGACCTAACATGTGTTGAAGCATGTGTCCCCCCAATGTAATTTGTCTACTTTTCACATTGCTGGTTGATCGTTTTTGCCTCTTCCACATAAACCATGATGACCTGCCGCGCTTCTAGAAATCAGAACGCAGCATGAAAGTTGTCTTGCCGTCATTGTATAACCCTCACTTTCCATCCTATCTAATGTGCCGCCATGACCTCCACTATAATGCCCGTTGCACCAGATGACATCGTACGTGCAGTAGACGAGTTGGCCAAAAAAGACTATATTAAAAGCAATGGAAATAAAAATAGCGACGGCCTACTTCGTTCCCCCGTGTTTGGAGAATTAGACAAAGAAGGGCGATTGCATGCATGAAGAGCAACGTATCTGTCCTACTTTCCCACATGCCACAGACCACTTGTACCTCGCCACTCGCATTCCCCTCACATTCATATCTTGGCACACGAGTGTGCCCAGGCCCATCGTTCGTCGTGCTTGTACTTTTTACCTTTGTCGTGGCTTTATTTCCCGTTTTGGTTAACTATCTACTCTCCAACCATCTCTGAAGATCGGCAGCTAGCCCAAGTCATACTAAGTGCTGCCAAGACCTGCAGTGACCAGCAGTGACCACTTGCCAAGATATCCCGGATTGTCCCAGCATCCTCAAATGATGCCGCGTCTCCAGATAGACGAGACAGCTACCATGATATTGCTAGACTACCCCAGCACCAGTCCCCACGAATTGGCGTGCATATCCCCTTGACATGACTGCTTGTGCCCCTCGTTCCGTATGATGACGGGATTCGCTGGACATCCTGTTTTTTGATCGATGTATCGTACCTGTTCTACCGTCAACTGTTCTTCGATGCTGCAGTATGTGACGCCGTTAAACAAAGACACATTTGATCTTCTGTGTCTGATTTTGATTCGGTATCTTTCCTTTTTTTGACACTATCATACACCATACACCACGGTTGCTCCTTCGCCCCTATGTGACATCTCACAACTTGCACCCTCTTCTGTCACCCTCTTTCCCTCTTTCATTGCATGTCACCAGTCTTCGTTCTTCCCGTTGTTCTCATCCTTCCCAGCATATCCCCTCGTCATTTCCTCTTTACTGTCCCCATCCTGCACACCCCTCCTTTTCTGTTTCTTTTAGGAGTGTAACGCCGTTTCTGCCTCGGTGTCCTCGTACACTTTTCGACCACCTACTGTTCCGGTTTATTCCATTCCCATTGCACATTTATAAAAGCTGCCCTCGCTGTTGTCCTACAGAACAGACCTCCCACTATATCGTCTTCAGCGCCTCTTCCCCCCCCCTCCCTTCTTTCACACTGATCAAGCTGACGTCAGGCCTACTCTTGTGCTTTACAAGTCTCTGGACGTTACGCGTTTTACTTGTTCGCACATCCTCTTGCCCCGGTTCCCAGGCTCACGTTTTTCCTTTTAACCCGCTCAGCATGGCAGGCAGTGACAGTGACAAGATGCCTGCGGGCACTGATGAAGCCTATCGTGTCCAGACAGAGCTCAGCACCAACGCCATGGACGAAAAGGCCATGTCTGGCGGTGACGGGATTAGCAAGGGTGACCGTGACGCCCTGAACGCCGAGATCCTGAACGAGTACTCTCCGAAGGAGCAGCAGCGCATCATGCGGCACATCGACCGCCGTCTCGTTGTGGTGATTGGCTTCATGTACTGCGTGTCGCTCATGGACCGCACGAACCTCGGCGCCGCCAACATTGCAGGCATGGAAACCGACTTGGGCCTCAAAATTGGCACTCGGTACTCGATCATCACGCTCGTCTTCTTTATTCCCTACATCCTGCTACAGCCGCCCTCGACGGTCATTGTCCGCCGCATCGGGCCCCGGATCCACCTTTCCCTCATCACGTTCCTGTGGGGCTGTGTCATGATCGGTATGGGCTTTGTAAAGTCGTGGGGTGTCATGGCAGGCCTGCGCGTCATACTTGGCATCCTCGAGGCGGGCTTCTTCCCCAGCTGCGTGTATCTGCTCAGTACGTGGTACACCCGCTACGAGGTCGGCAAGCGAAACGCGCTGTTTTATCTCCTCGGCTGCGTCGCGTCTGCGTTTGCAGGCGCCCTCGCCGCTGGCATCATGCAGATGGCCGGCATCTCGAACCTGAACGGCTGGCAGTGGATCTTTATCATCCAGGGACTGATCACGGTCGCCATTGCCATTGTTGGTTTCTGGCTTCTGGTGGACTTCCCCGATTCGAAGCGCAAAACGTGGTCTTTCCTGGGCGAGCGCGAGCGCTCCTGGGTGATGGCCCGTGTCCATGCCGACCGTGGCGATGTCACCCTGCCGCCGTTTCATCTTAAAGAGTACCTCAAGTGCGGCCTCGACTGGAAGCTCTGGGCCTACGGCATGATGTTCTTCAACACCACCACAGTGTCCTACGCGCTTGCGTACTTCTTGCCCATCATCTTGGTCGGCAGCATGGGCTTCTCCGTTGTCGAAGCCCAGTGCCTGGTTGCGCCGCCCTATGTCTTTGCCGGCATCGTAATGATCGCCTCGAGCTGGATCGGCGACCGCTACCGCATCCGTGGCCCGCTTGTCGCCTTCAATGCCCTGCTGTGCCTGATTGGCCTGCCCATCGTCGGATTCCATCACAATGCCGGTGTGCGCTACTTTGGCGTGTTTTTGCTGACGGCCGGCGCCAATGCCAACGTGCCGACGGTCATGTCGTACCAGGCCAACAACATTCGCGGCCAGTGGAAGCGGGCGTTTGCGAGTGCGCTGTTTGTCGGCTTCGGCGGTGTCGGCGGCATCTGCGGTAGTCTGGTCTTCCGCTCCCAGGACAGCCCCAAATACCTGCCCGGCATTTACGCTTGCATTGCGGTGTCGCTGTTGACTTTGATTTTGGTGGCCATAGTGAGCATCAGCTCCTACCGCAAGAACAAAAAGGCCGACCGAGGTGAGATTGAGCTGGAGGCCCATGAGGTAAGTTTAATTATTATTTTCAAAAGAAATCGGAGAATGTGACGTGTCTTCGTGTTACTTGTTTACAGCTTGCTAACATTTTGATAGGAGGACTACCAGCCTGGGTTCCGCTACACATACTGAGAGGAATTGGATCCCATTGTCTGAAGCACGCGTCTGCGGTTGCGGAGTGGCAGGGCGGATCGTCTTTGATGTGTAGGAATGACCATATTTGTCGGCAAGGGACACTGTATACACTATTGTAATCAAAATAGTTGGGATATAGTTTTTGCTTGCCGTACACAATTCGAATGCCTAGTTTGCCTTCAAAATTGGGGAAAGTCGCCTTTTGGCTGACTAAATTCTAACTAACACGCTTATACTATGCTCAGCAACTTGTCTCGTCAGACCATGATCTATCTCTTTTTCTCACGACCCGTTTTACCTCCCCACATTTTCTTCTAGAACACATAACGGAACGACGGATTCTCCTTGTCTGTCAAATCCTCAAAAGCATGGGTGTAGCGGTTGTCTGCGGCATCCAGGTTGCCAGCGGCGGCGAGTGCGTCGCGTAGCTTGTTCTGGCGCACGAGATAGAAACGCAGGCCAACAATGACAATGACGAGAAGCGAGTAGCATCCCAGATGCGTGGCGAATGCAATAAAGTACCGCGGGCCGTTCCAGCTCAGGAAGACCTGGGGCCCGATGGCATTGCCGGCCGACCAGATGATAAAGTTCATGGCGACGGCGACCGACTTTTTGGTCTGGCCGGCGACATTGCGCGAGATCATGGACAGGGCCAGCGTCTGGGCGGACCAAAAAGACAGCGTGATGTAGTAGCAGATCAGCAGACCAATCTGCTGGGCACGGCTGTCGAGCGGCACGGTCATAAGGCAGATGGTGCCGACAAACGACGGAATCACAAAGCCGAGCATGACGAGCAGCGTCTGGTTCGTCTTCTTGACCAGCCACACGGAGGCGAGCAGCACAATAATGATGTAGAAGCCGAGCACCATGGCGAGGAGCTGCGTCTGAAGAACGTTGAAGCCGAAGCCGGTGATGATGATGCCCTGGAAGGCGCCGAGGCCGCTCGTGGGCAGCGTGGTGCAAAGCGCAATCAGCGCATAGCCCCAGCACTGCGGGTCGAGCAGTGCCTCCACAGCCTGGGCACGCTTGAACGTGCGGTTCTGGATGCCGGTCTGGTTCTCACGCACACGCTCAATCATCAGGACCTTGTCCTCCTCGGAGAAACACTTGGCGCGCATGGGACTGTCGGGCATCCACCAGCCGACAAAGGCGCCAAAGACGACAGAGATGATGCCGTACGCAAGGAAGATCCATTGCCACGACTTGAGCGGACCGGTGGTGATCAAGCTGAAGCAGTAGGCCAAAAGACCGCCCACAACCTGCTGCGCGCCGTTCATCATGTACCAGTAGGTGACGCGGGACGCCTGCTCCTCGCGGCGGTACCAGATGCTGGACAGGATGATAAAGGCCGGCTGGCATGCCGACTCAAAGAGGCCGAGCATCGTGCGGACGACCACGAGACCGGCGAAGTTGTGGCAGGCGGCGGTAGCGGCGAGCACAATGCCCCAAGCGATGATGCTAAAGCTCAGGTACTTGGCAATGGGCACGCGCGCAATGATCCAGTTCTGTGGGTATTCGACGATGAGGATGGTGATGTAGATACAAGTTGTCAGCCAGCTATAGTCCTGGCCGACGAGCTTGGTGTCGGTGCGGATGCCCATGATAGAGGCAAAAGAGAGGGTGCCTTTGTCGATGGTCTGCAGGAAATAGGTGCAGATCATGATGACAAGTACGCGGCGGTCGATCTTGCGGCGCAGCTCGCGGTTCTTCTCCGGCGAGATGTGCACACGCACGTCGGAAACGTACTGCGACAGCTCCTTGTCGATGGCATCGACGTTCATGTCGAGCATCTTGACATCGTGAACGTCGCGCGAGACGACAGGTTCGACGCCCAGAGACTGCTCTGGCTCTGCGGCCCGGATGGTCGTCATTTGGAGGTATATGTTGGTTTGACGTAGTATGCTTTGGGCCGGGAAAACAGACAATGACAGTCAATCGAAATTCGGGGGGGAAACTGTGATCAATAGACCATTTACCGGTGCCGAATATAAGATAAGACAGGAAGAGGGGATTTATAAATATGTTCCGCCACGGTGCCGGACGTAAATATGGTTATGGATATTGTATAGCTGGGGTAGCCTCTCACAAACAAAAAGAAAATTTATAATAGAGAAAGATAGACATGAAAATCAGTCAATGGACATCATCCCATCAAGACGACAAGAACCTGCTGCCGTGGCAGTCCACCGTATTGCCGTGTGCGGGTGTTGCAATAGAGCTAAAAAAAATAAAAACCGAGCAGGGGTGGATGTCCCCTTGAATGCTGTTTTGCAGCCTCTGTCCACTTAGCTTTCTCATTTCCGTTTACTCTTTCCCCGCGCGGGGAATAGCAGGACAGGCAAGCCACATGTTTTCCGGGGCATCTCTGGGGATAATACATAGAAGAGAAAAAGAATACGACAAGCCAAAAATATGGAGCACAAAGGGAGGAGACGGCAAAATGAAGGCATGGAAAAATAGCTGGTCGTAGGTGGACGCGAGACGGAGGGTGCAAATTCCAGGTCGTATTCCTGTGCCAAACATCAACGCCCTTGAACACCGAACGAACTGCCGGCGCTAATATGCCCAGGAAGGACAAGGACGACAGTGAGCCACGCCCGTGAGCTGTTCATTCGAACAAGGAAACGGGACAAGGCGCGAATGTTTGTGTTTGCAGAGAAGCCTAAACTTCGAACAGTCATTATTTCAGCAAAAAACCCTTTGTTTCTCTCGCTCCTGCACTCGACAATTGTGTCGTTCACAGTCGATGTCCCGAAGCGATCGCCAAGTAAGCTTGTCTCGACGACGGTCCACTCAGGCTAGGACGCTTCCTGATTCGTGGGGTTTTCTCGGTGTAAACTATTGCGCATGGTCGCATGACTGCCGTAGACAGTCGTCGAGTAACAGACAAGGATCATCGTCGGATTGCTGAGCAGGGCAATACAGGTTCTGTGCCAAGACAACTGCAGCGGAGCAAGGGTCAGCGAGACGACGGGAATGGCACACGATGCGACTGACTTGTCTTGGTGTGACTTACCATAGGGAATGAGGGAACCCCAGTGGACGTTCGGGCGAACATTGCCCGAATTCTCGGGGACAACTACCAGCCACGGCGGACATTGACCCAATTCGCATCGGCCGATGTAACTGAATAGGGCACGCCCGCCATTTCCTACCTTGGCATATAGCTCCCCGACACGGCAACATCATTGGCCCACCTTGTGTCGGACAACCAGTTCCCAAAGGGTAGCTGGAGAGTGACCTGGCGTAGCCAAAGAGTGCCAGCTGAACCACGCGGCGCACATCTATCAGCAAATCTTCGCAGCATCGAGAACCATTCGAGAACCATTACCATGCCTGCCGAACTGTACGGGGTCAAAGCTGTCGATGTGCACGCCAAAATCAAGCTGCTCATCGACGGCCTGGTCAATATCACCGACACAACCGGCGAGTTTTTGATGACCCTCGAGGATGGCCGTGTTATCGACACAAAGGGCTGGAATGATTGGGTGAGCAAGAGCACCGTGCCGTCGACCTGGTAAATCTTCAAACAACAATTTCCCAAACTGACGCGTCTCAGGAATGGACACATGGTATCGGCCTGCTCGGCCTGTGGCAGTACTATGAGCTCACTGGCGAAGCGGAATACCTTGCCATCATCGAGAACTGGTTTCGCGACCGCTTTGCCGCCGGCGGCACCACTAAGAACATCAACACCATGGCCGTGTTCCTGACACTCGCATACGTCTATGAGCGCACACAGAACGAGACCTACCGGCCGTGGCTCGATTCGTGGGCCGAATGGGCGTACCACGACTTGCCGCGCACACGTTACCGCGGCTTCCAGCACATTACTTACCTCGAAGTCAACAAGGACCAGCTGTGGGACGACACGCTGATGATGACCGTGTTGCCGCTGGCCAAGATCGGCCGTGTGCTGGGCCGGCCGCACTATGTCGCCGAGGCACAGCGGCAGTTTTTGCTTCACGTGCAGTATCTGTGTGATCGGCCGACCGGGCTCTTCTTCCATGGCTGGGAGTTCACGCAAGATCAAAAAGGTAGTTCCAGTTCAACTACCGGCCACAATTTCGCCAATGCGCGCTGGGCGCGCGGGAACAGTTGGGTCACCATGGTGATCCCCGAGTTCCTGGAGCTGCTCGAGCCCGACGCCAACAGCGCCAATGCTGATGCCATTGGTCTCTTCTTGCGTGACGTCCTTGACGCCCAGTGCAATGCCCTGACAAAGCTGCAGGACCCCTCGGGCCTATGGCGCACGCTGCTTGACGTGTCAGTCGAGGAGGGCTCCTATCTCGAGGCCAGCGCGACGGCCGGGTTTGCCTACGGCATGCTAAAGGCGCGGAGGAAGCGGTATTGGACCGGCAACACCGAGTCTGCCATCTCTGCCGTCAAGGCCGTTCTCGATAATGTCGACGAGCGCGGCGAGCTGCTAAACACCTCCTTTGGCACTGGCATGGGTCACGACCTGCAGCACTACAAGGACATTCCTGTCACGAGTATGCCGTACGGCCAGGCAATGGCAATCATGGCCCTTGTCGAGTTTCTGCGGGAGTTCATGTAGCATTCTGTATCAGGTCAGAACGTCATTGATAGATCAGAAATAATAAATTAACGATATCCAATAGCTGTTGAGCATTGAGTGGCGCTACGTTCGGGGGAAGGAGCCACCACTCAACAATGCGGGCGATCGAGGAAGGCGCGAGCATCAATGGCAGAGCCACGTGAGACAAACAAATTTATCGTGACTTCCCGACAATTGCTTCATGGCACCGCCCTTGATTTTCAAGACGATAAGTGCGCTGTTTGACGAGCTGAGCGATGCCCAGACCTGGGCGCGCTATCAATACCTCAAGCAGCAAACGCGTGAGAAATCCCCTGCCCAGGCACAATGGTTCTCCGTGTTAGTAAAATCGAACAGCGCACAGAGTCATGCTGTACACATGGTCCGGACGCGGTCCGCATCGTGCCCCGATTGCCGAGCATTCTGGGGACCGGGGCGTAACGTGGACCTTGGGGCACCCGTAATTAGGACGAGCCCAAGTTCCAGCTCCACATGCGGACTTCGCTCCGGGGTTGCGCTGGGCACATTGTCACTAATGCCTCCACACTGGGATCTATTAAACCCAAGGTGAGCGCCATATCCATACGTCTGAGCAAATGAGGTTGAACGCTTCTGACCACGTGTTGATGGTGAGGCGGGATTCCAGACTACGATTCCATCCCAGACTACGATTCCATCCCAGACTACGACACAAAACATACTTTGCTCTTCTCACCCGCCTAGTCAACTAGCGAGACGAAAACATGGCTTCGATGATGTCTGCGACCTCGAATCCCCCAGCCTCCACTCATTTGACTGAAAACCACACTGCGAGGGCGTGGACAGCGTATTATTCGGCTTTCATTTTACTTTTCGTCTCTGGGACATAAAATGCTGTGCCTATGTGAATAAGTGGCATAAAAGGAGGACACTCCCATGGTAGTTTCTTCCCTTTTTCAATTGGGTTTTTCTACGGCAAGGACACAAAGTTCGTCTGAAAATATAGCATTACGTGACGTTTAACAGTCTCACCGGGAATCCAATCCGATATTATGGTCACCACAAACGAAGACAAGGCAGTTCCAGTGAGGAGGACGACACTGATGTCAAAGGTCCGGTTCCTGACCATAACTGGTGTTGGGCAGTTCGCTGACGGCTATCGTACGTTTGTTTATATTATATCCAACAGTTTTTGTCCACTTGTAACGCAGTTCTACTAACGATCAGTCAACACAACTATCGGCCTCGTCGTTCCCATGCTCGGCTACCTTTACTGGCAGGACAACAAGAATATCGTCCCGGTCATCCAGCAAGACACTATGAAAAGCGCCCTGCCCATTGGCATGATCATTGGGCAGGTCCTCTTTGGCATATTCGGCGACGCCTTTGGCCGACACAGCGTCTACGGCCGGGAGCTGCTCTTGACGATGGTCGGGACTCTGCTGGTGATCACCATGCCGCCGCACATGAGCCACAACGGCGTTGTCGGTTGGGTGACTGTCTTTCGTATAGTCACCGGGCTCGGCATCGGCGGGGACTATCCAATGACAGCATCCCTGGCTGGCGAAGAAAACCTTGGCTGGTCGCGCCGCAAGAATGTGCTTGCAGCCTTCTCGTTGAGCGGCGTCGGTGCCCTGGCAGCTGCGATCGTCTTTGTGGTGCTGCTGGCGGCCTTCAAATCGTCAGTGGAGGCAAATATATACCATCTGCAGTGGGTGTGGCGCCTACTGCTGGGCATCGGCCTTATTCCGTGTGCGCTGACTCTATATGCGCGCCTGCGGATTCGCGAGACCCAGCCCTATCGGGAGTATGTCGAGGCCCGCACCCAACAGGCCGACCTCCCATCAAAGCACCAGCGTGGTCTGCAAGAGCAATTTGCCGACTTCCGCGCATACTTTGCGGAGTGGCAGCATGTGCGCACACTGCTGGCTGTCTCGCTCATCTGGTTTCTGTTTGATATTGCCTTTTACGGCGTTAACCTCAATCAAAGCGTCATCTTGGCGCGCATTGGCGTTTCCGGCGGCAGTACGCCCTGGCAGGTGCTTCACAACACGGCCGTTGGCAACATCATCCAAGTTTCGGCAGGTTATGTTCCAGGCTATTGGCTGGGCATCTTCTTGCCCGACTGGCTCGGTCACCGCCGGCAACAGTTTCTCGGCAGCGCGGCCGTCACGATCCTCTATGCAGCATGGGCCGGCGTGACAAACCACGCGACCACTGGTGACCTCGTCGCGCTCTTTACAATTTCGCAACTGAGTCTCAACGCCGGCCTGGCGTCCACCACTTTCTTGGGTACGTTTACACTCTCCCGTGGAATGGATCCTGGCGTCTAACGTAGCATAGTCCCCGTCGAGGTTTTCCCGACAAAGGTACGCGCGACCAGCCACGGTATCGCCGCCGCCAGTGGCAAGGTCGGCGCCGTCGTGACATCGTTTGCTTTCAACTCGGCCACCAACACCATCGGCCTCGACGGCGTCCTTGGCCTGCTCTCGGGTATCATGTTCCTCTGCACTTTGTTGACATACTATGTGCCTGAGACCAAGGGCCTGTCTCTTGCGGAAATTGAGGCCGACGGCATGTACAAGAAGAAAAAAGACGAGCGTGTCAAAGTTGCTTCACCAGTTGTTGAAAGAGGCAACATTTCGGCGGCGCCTAGTTATATGAGTGACTCGGCTGTCGCTGGCAAGGTCTAGTTTCTGTTGTCGCAGCGGGGACCCGAGTGACGTTACTTATTTCCGTATTCTAGCAGAGTAAGAGCTGAAGTTCAACTGGTCTCGTGGATTTTGAGTAAAAATTATACGGTATTTGTGACATGCAGACCAGACGAAAGAGGAATGCCACACTGTTGCATCCAGCAGGGGAAGTACAGGGCTCAGGGGTCAACGATTATCAACAGCCAGCACGTGGGCTACAGCGTGCGGCTGCCCAGAGACCCCCAGCATGCCCCTCTCACAAAAGTGCACTAGAAGCAGCCGTCGACACAACACAGCAAAAATCAGCGCCTGTCGGTGTCGTAAGCAATGTTGGCCGTTCGCAACTTCCTTCTGCGACATACTTTCCCTTTTTTTGTGTTTTGTGATTTTACAGTAAAAATTAAAAGATCTGAAATTTGACACTGGGAGCTTAACTTAACTCGCGAACCACCGAATTCGACATCACACATCATCAATGGCCGGCGACGACAGCCCGACGTCGCCTGTCCTTGCGCTGCGAGCAGCCTTTGGCGACCGAAAGCCGCCCAACATCAGCCGCAAGATCACAGCGTGCGTTGCCTGTCGCAAGCAAAAGGTGAGCAGTCGCTCCGTTTGCACTCTGATTGCAAGTGCTTACTGTGTGCCTTTGTTTCCTTCTCTAACTCCCTCTCCCCCCAGATTAAATGCCACATGAACGACGGCCAGGCGCCGTGCACACGCTGTAAGGCGAGGGGCCTTTCGTGCACAGTGAACCGCAGCCTTCAGATGCTCCTGGAGAGCGACACGTCGTGGAAGCATGCCATGGAAGAGAAGATGCGCCGACTCGAGGCCATTGTATCTAGAGTTGCCAGAAATGCGACGCCAGCCGAGGGTCTAGAATGCATCGAAGATGACCAAGCGGACGGCCCCGGAAACCCCAGTGGCGGCCGCAGCAATGACCAGCCAGAGGACAATGTCGGCCGCACCGAGACTGACGCAGATGGACATCGTGATGGTGACCACGGTGCCAATCACTGGGACATTGTCATGGACCTGGACTCGGGTCCGGGTGTTGTGCCGGGGTTTTACATATCCGGCACACCGCCGTCACAGGCCGAGACTGGTGAACCAGGGCCTGCTGGTGGACGCACCACGCTTGACAGACAACCTGTAGGCGGAACTGACAACATGGTGCCTCGAAGAATCCACAACACAATCACCAATCGAGATTTTATCGCGCGTGGCATCGTGCCTCTCGAACGTGCCCAAGCGTACTTTGACAACTACCACAACCGCATGGACCACTTTCCCTACCGCATTCTCTGTGACCACGGCCCAGTCAGCCTAGCCAGCCTGCGCGTCACGTCTCCGCTTCTGGTTGCTGCTGTCTGCTCAGTGGGCGCACTACACACATACACAGACGACCGTGCCGGGGACCTGGCTGACTTCGACCAGCTGCACGCTGAATTTGTAGCGCAATGTGCGCGCAAAGCCATGTCCAAGACGTGCACCATGGACGACGTACGAGCACTGTGTATCGGTGCCTTCTGGCTCGGTGCTGACTTATCGTGGTCGTTGGTGGGCACCGCCGTTCGAATGGCCACTCAGCTCCAACTGCACCGCTCTTTCCGCCGAGGACTGGGTGATGGAGCCACCGGAAACGACGCTCGGGTGCATTACCTACGCACACGGTTGTGGTACCTCGTCTACGTCTGCGATCACCACTTTTCCGTCGTCTACGGACGACCACCGCTTACACGGGAGGACGAGTCGGTTCGCGACGCGCGCCGGTTTATCAACGGCCCACACGCGACCGAAGACGACGCACGCCTCGTTAGCCAGGTGCTCCGCTGGAGCCTGTGCTCCAACATCTTTGACACATTCGGTGTGGACGCAACGCGCGCCCTGGATGACATTGAGGTACCACATCTGCGCCGCTTTGGTCTCGCTCTGGACGGCCTCCGAGCTGAGTGGGTAGACCGATTCCGTCCCAACCCGCATGTCGGCAACTATCCCCGAAAGGGCGTCCAGCTACAGTACAACTTTGCAAAGCTGTACCTGTACTCGCACGCTTTCCGCGGCCATCCTGACCGTGGACAGAGAATCCGTGGGCCTACAGAGACATACACTCCTGCGGTGCCTCCCACAACTACCCCGGCGGCAGCCGCCTCTACAGGTTCGTCGCCATCTCTTACAGATGCTGCCATGGACCTTGACGAGGCTTTCAACGCGGGCGTCCTCGCAGCCTTGTCGATCCTACGTGCCGTTGTCGCCGACGCAGAAATTCAGTCGTACCTCAACGGCTTGCCAATCTACTTTGATGTGATGATAGCTTTTGCAGCAGTGTTC